ATATAGATGGCAGGAAACACGGATGCTGGAAGAGTGTTCCACTCCTTAGCAGTTCGTTTAGAAACGTAGAACTAAAGCGTTTCATATGAGTTGGTCGGATTTCTACGACAAGGATGCCAGCACTCACGACTTCTCGCTATTCTGTGGTAAAACAGTGAAGGGGGCACAAGGTTGTGAAGTTCCTGCGCACACTCCCCAAAGTATATCCGATAGAAGATCAATAGACAGGCGACATTGCATCGATGCAGTAGACTAAGCATTTTCGTCTATATATACAGAAAAATGACTCAATTTGTAAATGACAAAATTGCATATAAAGCTCTGTTATGATGTACTCGACGTCATATTCGGTCTGCCCAATGGCGTTTCAACTAATTTGAATTTCCCACTCGTTTTTGCGTTTTTTTTCTTAATCAATAAGAAATTACATTAAAAAATATTAATATAGGCTTAATTCAAAAGCATTAAAGATTATAAAAAAATATTTCACCTTTATTTAAATCACACGCATATTCCTTATCATAACATCTTTTATCATCTATTCAAGACAAACAAATAACCCAAAGAATAGCTCGAACTAGCTCTGTCCAATGTTTTTGTATGGGATGAGGCATCTGTACTAGTATAGTACTATGTAATCTGTTTCAACACAAAGGATATAAAAAAGCGGATGCAGAAGAGAGTCAAAAAAAAAAAAACTATAATTTCATTTTTTTTATTATAAACAAGGCAATGGATACAAAATTTTCTCTTAGCATATTATATACAATACTCCTTAATACCCATCAGTAAAATACGTATGGAATGTCTATTCTAAACCTGAAGTCTTTATTTAAAGCTTAATATGAGCTTTTTTTTACAATAATTAAGCAGTTTGTGGCAACACTGGAAATATTTATAGATAAAAAATGTATATTAAAAAGAAAAAAAATCACATATTTTAAAAATATTTTTTATTTCCACAAACGTTATAATTATGTAAAATATTAAATGTACTTACAAACTAGGATTGAACCCATTTTTCAATTTAAATTGAGCAAATTTTCAAAGAATTGACTTAAAAAGTCTATTAAAATAAATTTTATTTATTTTTGGTTAGTAAAAGTAAAGTCTTTTGCTAAAAGTAAATTTGTTCATATAATCTCAGCACTGAACGTATTTTGATACAGATTTTAGTAAACATAGATTAATTATTCTTAGAAAAATGTTTACTATACATTAAATATGAGAAGCATAATGAGGTATTTCGTAAAAGAGCTTTTGAAATATAAAATATAGTATAAATAATTAGATAAAATGCTAACACCATAAGTCTAATGATCCCTCTATAAAGAAAATAATATATATATATATATATATATATATATATATATATTATTTATATATATATATATATATAAATATTCTATTTAAAGTAATTATTATAAATTTTGGAAATGAAACATAATATGATAATTTTTGGAAAATTCAAAGTTAGCATGATTTATTTTATATAAAGATAATTTTAAATTTAATCTTATATAATGATATATATGAATACTTATAAATGAAACTACGAATAAGTTGATAAGTCGATTTTTCTTATCTGCTAACGACAAGCCGGGCCTTTAATTAATTAACTTTTATATACTACTTATTACGTATAGGGTATACCAGAATAGAAAGTATCTTTTTATATGTATGGTTATACGTCGATCTGTTACTCCTTACTGAAAGGTCGTATGAACAAACACTTTTGCGTTCACAATACATAATATAATTAACAATGTAAATAAAACTAAAAACTTATAACTATTAAAACTCGACTTATCAACTCGTTCCCTTAAATTTACATTGGTAACTATAAATTTTGTATTAAATCACCGTTATATGTAAAAAATACAGATAGAAGAATAAAGAATTTGAAAAATTTTACGTAAGGTTTATTTATTACGTCTAGTCTGGTCAAGGTCTCTAACAAAATTTCTTACTTATATTTGACGAAGATCAATCTTGTACAAATTGTTACTCGATCAATATTTGAATATATTTTCAACGACAACGTAACATTATTTATTGTCTAATAAAAAACTGAGAAGTCGATAATTGCATTTTTGCTGACTTCCCTGTCCACTACAGCGTGGAGGGCCTCATATATATACTACTTATATAATCTAATCGTATGTTCATCTGTTAGTGACCATGTAACTCTTGAATAATTCGTGAACAACTGAGAGAGTAAAAAATCTAGGAACCAGTGAGTGGCTATGGCTATTTAGCCATAAAAGAAATTCATTAGGTGGCGCTGTGCTCGTGATTTTAACAAAATATATATTATATATTTCTTAAAGTAAAATTATATAATAATAAAGAAAAAATGGATACATATTTCATAATTGAACGTCTGAACTCTAACTGTATTAATCTACTTAACACTTTAAAATCAGACCACTACATTGTTTTTTACATTACAAAATAGTCTATATATTTACAAACTTAGAATTAACTTTTACCGAAATATAAAATGTTAAGTACACAAATCATACGTTAATTAGGAAATAAGAATAACCCAAGGGTAACCTTGCACCTTAGTATTTTCATCATCCAACACCAAAGTGGTTTATACATATTATATATAATAAAACTATATTGCTAGTCCCCATAGACCTAGAGAATGGACTGAGCAATACTTTATACTATTATGAAATTGACAAAGAGAGAAAGCAAACGTGCGGCCATTACCCGTCTTTTTTTCCAATTTGAATTTATAAATGGAATGTGAAAAAATATAATATTATTAAAAATTATAATATTATAATGAAATGTAAAATGGTTATAAATATCTATCTTCCTTAATCGTATTTTAATTAAGACAGAAGACTTCTGGCCGTACATTCGTTATGTCTCTGTCGCGCCTTTCCGCCATATTTAGCTGACGGCTGGCAAAGAAACACTCAGTCAACTCTCTCTCTCTCTCTTTCTCTTTATTGGAAAAGGATAAAATTACAATGTAGATATGTCTGTCTCTTTCTTAACTACTTACGAGTCTTCTGTATAAAGTTGACATTGACAACTTCTGTGACACTTGCCAATTCTTCACAAGAGAACCCGTCGCGGGTTTCGTAGAAAGAAAAGGGATAGAAACGTTTGTTTGTTGTCTCACTCTGTGACACTTTCACTTGTTACCGCTGGCAATATAGGCATATTAATATCATTGTAATAGATAAATAAAAGATCTAGATAAAATATGTGTTGACACGACGAAGCTATACCGAAGGCTGCGGATTCCATTCCCGCTCAAAGTTTTTGTGTTAATCATACAAATTGTCAAATTTCGTAAAATTAGTAGCGTCGACTAAATTATATAGCAACGAAAACCATACAAAAATTATACTTAGTTAGTGAACAATATATAAATCTATATCGACTAGCATTATTGGTCAATTTTCTTACTTGCAGTAAGTACATATAAAGATGAAAACTTAGGATTTTTAGTTTCCTGTTAAAGCTTTCCTTTTAAAATCCATAATATATTTAAAAAAAATTAAGAGTTACATAGATTGAGATTTTTAGTGGGAAATATGCTTGAAATATATTTGCAAATTATCATACGATGTGAAGGCAAAACGAAGTTGCTGACATTTTGGAAAAAATACATTTCAGAGGACTAAGTAAGTGAGATAAATAAGTGAAATTGCAACAAACATTTTTAAATCCACGAGTTTTCGTTAAAAAAATAACAATTTAACCCAATAGAGTCTCAATTAAAGAAATCTAGATTAAAATACTGATATGATGATATTCATGATATTCATTTGTATTATAAAATTATGCAAGGAACAATATTGTATCTGATAACATTGCTCCGGCCTCCGTATTACGAGTTATAATATTGTTCTTTCAAAATCATAGATAAAATATATAAAAAAAAATCATTCTCGTACAATATTTTGGGAACAATTTTCAGAATAAAATTGTTTTAGGATAACATGAACAAATAAAAAATATACGCTGCGTAAATAAAATTGTACACCGTTTTCTTTTATTTATTCCGGTTATGAAATAATAGCAGAGAAAATAAATAGAAGGATGAATGTAATCAGACCTTGGACTACTAATAATATGAACAGAAATCATTATAAAAAAAATTTTTACCTTCACACCACGATACACTTGTCTGTAATTGAAAAGATGCTTCATTTTATTTTAAAAATATAAATATTAACACAGATTAAATAAAATAATGTACAGTAAAAAATTGTACAATATTTATTTACAAATCACTATACAGCTTTGTGCTTTATTTTTTAAGGGTAAATGGTATTTTTCTGTAAATCCTCAAAATTTTTATATGTTAGTCTGTCAGTCACAGCCTATTTTTTAGATTTCAAAAAATAGTATTAATGATGTATATAGTCCATTTTGGGGGTCAAATACGCCCAAATTTAAAATTCATAGTTAACATGAAAACTTTAAGTTATTTGTATTGATAATACAATAATATATGGAACTCTCCTTTATAATACTAATTGACATTTGTTTTTTTTAACATCTAGACGTACACATAACATTTTATATACATATTACTAAAATACCATCCATACCCTATACCTTTTATAAGTACAAATTATGAGCAAATCTTAAAAAAAATATAGTTAAAAAAATGATAAACTCAGTCAAATATTCTTTGATAATGTTTAAAATCTTTTTTGACTCTTAGTACTTATTGATAAATATGCTAAAATAACGAATGTATCATCTTTTTGACGAGCGAAGCTTAGTGAAACGAGTTATTTTAAAATTTGCAAACTGTTATTTGCCGTAATAGATACAAAAGTGAAAAATCTTATTTATTAATAATTTAAATTCGCATGTGAAGTTAAAATGGGGTAAATATTTTAAATATAAGGGTTTTCTATTTAATTGTTGGCACCATAAGAGGGTTGCAGGAAACCATGTCTAAAACCCATAGGTTACTTGACCTACACAAATTTCATACAAAAATTCAAAATTTAGCCTTAAAAATAATTATCAACTTTAAATAATCGACTCCTACGATGCTCAGATTTGATAAAAACATTTTCTGAATGTATCAACGACTCTCTTTCTGCTTCACTAAAATTTGCTCTAACAAATTCCCTATTCAATATTGATTTCAACTCATCAATACTTTGGCTTAAATTTTCTGTTTTATTTAGAAAATTAAGCTCTTGAAATCTGTCTCCTTTGCTACTACATTGGTTTAATGGTTGATAAACAGTTTCTTTAGTTGGCCGCAGTTTATGGGAATTATTAATTATTAGAGTCGATCCACGTCTTATAGTTTCTCTCCCTAACTCGACAATTTCCAACGAATTTTGGCCGATAACGAAATTTTTGTACGCTTTTATGAATACCGTGATTAAAACTCCTAAACCGATTGTGATGAGGGAATATGATATTAGACTCGCAGCGATAGGACCTAAAGTTGTGCCTAGGAATATCCACCTCCATATAGAAGTGGAGACGCTATCCATGCCCTGAAAAAGTGAAATATTATGTAAAAGGAAATGGAAATTTTAGTATTAAAGCGGGATTTGAACCCGTTATCTTAATGGAGAAACAAAGAATATATACTAAAAACTATTTAACTGATTTTCAGAAATTCTTTTGGTGATAGCTTCACTATGCCTTTGTAACATACTTGTAGGCTTTTTGTATGTAAGCAAAATGGAACAGCGTGGAAAAATTAATCGGATTACTATTGTAATTACGAATGTTTATATGTGTGTATGTTTTTTTGCAACTCTGTAAAGTTTCATCAAAATCCGTTCAGTAGTTTTTGCATGAAACAGTAACAAACGTCTATCCATCCACCCATCCATGTTCACAAACTTATGATATTAAAGTAAAAAGTAGGATGTCAAATCGTTCGTTCCATCAGTCAAAACACGTCCACTGCAGGATATAGGTCTCCCCTAAAGATTTCCAGGACTGCCGGTCCTGTGCCATCCGTATCCAGTGGGCTCCAGCGACTGACCAAATCGTCGGTCCACCTTGTCCTGGACAAACTTTGTCCTTGTCCTGAAGGCCTGCCCACACTTTGCCCTTCATATCAGTCGATGTTAAATATTCGCGTAAGATTTTCGCAAATATTTGACTGACAGATTAATATAGGAAGATTTTTAAACAAAACCATCTTTTCGGATTTATTTTGATTTTTGGTCCCCGACGTTTCGGATGCTTTACAGCAATCATTGTCAGGAGACGTTGGAAGTCAATATAATATTTGCGTAAATCTAAGAAAGTATTACAGGAAGATTTTTTTTTACCTCTTGCACCCACATCACAGGAAACACAATATCAGGAAACTTGTGTATGTTGTTCACCTTTATGTTGGGAGCTTGATCTACTTTAATGTTTAGTTGCACCCTCACTTGGGCTTCCAAGGGGACACCTATTTTCTGGAAAAAGAACAATTTTCAGCTAAGTGCTGATATTTCAATAATCGTACCATACAAGTTATCTATACAGACAAACAAAATAGAAGTGTCTGTATGTAATGTCAAAATAACAGCTTTTTACTAAATACATATAAAAGTTCTATATTTATAAAAACGCCGCTTATAAAAACACAATTTTTATATTTTTGGTTGTCTGTCTATCTTTTTGTTTGTTCCGGCTAATCTCCGAAACGACTGGACTAATTTTGACGGGATTTTCACTGGTTGATAGTTAATGATATAAGGAGTAACTTAGGCTATTAATATTTTAGAAAAAGAATTAGGGTTTCACTAAAAAAATACTCAAGAAATTGTGAACAAAATCCGAGTGAAGGGAGGGTAAGTCGTCAGTCTTAAATGAAACTATTTTTTTCAGATTTTGTCGCGATTTTATTTTATATTTTTGTTCCCGACGTTTCGAACTCAGCTATCATAACTACGAGAAAGATACTGAATTATTGACTTCTAAACCTCAATTCTATTGGTATTAAAACACATTTTAGTTTGTACTTTAAAAAAGCCGAAAAAAAAATATTTTATCTTTTCTATATATATTTATCTTCTTATATTTATATATATATATATATTTATATATATATATTTATATATATATATATATATATTTATTATATTGTTATATATTGTTTTTAAAATAGACGGAAAAAACTATCTACAACAAGTATTGGTACTATGGCCACAATAACATATCTAACTCACCGGCTGTAGTAAAAAATAGCTTTCATGTTTCTTTTTATCTGGTTGTAGCCCTTCAAAACGTTCCAACAACGACGGTTCTGCGTTATAGAAATGAGGGTATGAAAGGTAGACTGGAGCATCTGTAACAGCAAAGTTTTACTATTTTAAGTCTATTAATTTTTTTAAATTTAATACTAGTATTTACCCGCGGCTTCGCTCGCGTGATAAGTGGGACAGGGTTTAAGGATAGTATATATCCGGTATCAGGATGCAATCTATGTCCTAGCCAAATTTTATCGAAATCTATTCAGCGGTATAAGCGTGAAAAGGCAATAGATAATTACTTTAGATATTAAATTAATAATATTAAATTAAAAAAATAAATTAATATTCAGTTACGTTGTATGTCAAATTGTGTTATTTTCGATAAAATCATTTATGTATGTATGTCTTTTAGAATTAAACATTCCTTAATGCCGGTTCTACGTCAATTTTGACAAACTTCAAACCTCTACAAATGTTTGATATTTTTTTTAAATACAAACATCGATATCCACACACTTACGAGTGCGCTTGTGTCTCGAAGAAGCAAACGCGATGGACGTCGAGCTAGATAGGTATGGGCTATTACATTCGGCTTACCTTATTTCTATTATAAAAAGAAACAAAGTGAAATGAAAAGAGATATAAAAGGTATTTTTTTTGGATTTAAGTATCAAATAAATAAATTTATTAACATTAACATGCGGTATATATTTTTTTTACCATCTAGTTCCATGGTAAGCTACGAGGCTTATGTTATGGATACCAGATAATTGACACACTACACATATTTATATAACTTTAAATACATACATATTAAAAATATAAACATCCATAACTGGAGTACAAACATTCGTGCTCATCACACAAATAAATGTCCCCAGCGGGACTCGACCTCGCGACCGCTGGTGCAGCAAGTAGGGTCACTACAAACTGAGCCAAACGTGTCGTCAGATTTTCGTCAGAATTTGTTCAAATCTCAAAGGAAAGCGACAAGCGCTTGTGATGCACTCATTTGCTTATTGTTGTTTAAAAAAGTATATGTATTTACAATTTTTTTGTTGATAACACCAAAGCTCGTCAAAAGCTACTATTTACTAAAAAAAAAAGAAAATCGATTGACAAACAGAGAAGACATAGATAATGGACTGTTTTGTCTTTGTCTTATATATAAAAATAAATAAATTTAATTACATAAACTAGTGATCACCACGCGGTTGAAAATCAACCATAATTCCTTAAGTTTGATCGATTTGAGGTTCTATCTCGATTTGACCACAGACTTTAACAATAAACAAAAGAGTATATATACGTGTGCGTGTCAAACACATGGTAGTGTGTGTAATATTTTTTAAATTCATTTAATGTATTTTTTATGCATAATTAAAAAAAAATATCTTTTAAACTTCTCTATATAAACTATAAGTGTGGGAAATTTCATACTCCTCCGTCCGCGCAATTTTCGTAAAAACAAAAGGTACAAAGTTTTTGCTTCGTATATATCTATATAATATGTAGATATAAAAGTAATTGGAAAATTTCTGTTCATCCATTTTTGTTTATTTGTTTCCATATACTCAAAAACATGTTTTTTTAGTAATAAGTAAAAAAAAAACTCACTATATTGACAAGGGCTGATAGTCTGAAGTCCTCTCGGAGGGCATTTCTCTCCTTGACAATAACACTTGTTATCTGGATTTTTTTCACCATCTTCTAAATATGTGCTAGGGGGTGTGTAGAGACCTGTTAGGATACCTAAAACAAATTATCATTATTTAACACTTTAATATACAACTAGATTTAACGTTTAGTATAGATTTCTCGGAGATGAGATATTTTCCCGCAGTAAGAATTATCCTAGATATTTTCCCGGATAACCAGCTTATCACCATACCAAATTTCATAAAAATCTGTCCAGTGGTTTTCTCGTGATGCGTTCGTTCCCAGACAGACAGACAGACAGAAGTTCTAAAAACTATAGATTCGGCCTCTGTATCAGTAATAATAACTATTTCAATAAGTTTTTTCAATAAATATTTAATGTACAGATTCGACCCAGTTAGAATTTTATCATACAGGCTGATTGGCAATTCGACATATTTCCGTTAGAACGTGATAGGGGTGACTATTTGCGATAATTTTAATCCCCATATGTATTATGCAAAAGTGAACCATTTTTTAAATTATCATGTTTTTTAGCTTTTTTCAAAATAAGTCAAAAATGCAACATCAAAAATTTATTAAAAAAAAAGTATCAATTAAATCTCATTTTTTCTTCTGATTTATAAAAACGATTACACACTGTTTATTTATCAATATTAAAACAACAATTTTCGGTCCAAATTTAAAAATGCGAGACGAAAAACGATATTATTTCAATATTTTTTTGAGATTTTTTTCCACTAAAATGCCTTAAAAATAAAAAATAAAACGTTATGAAACTTGGGTTGCAGATTATTTTGAAAACATAACCGTTTTATTAGGTCTCCAACAATGCATAACAACTAGGAACTTATTTCAAAGAAACTGAAAAGAAAAATTGATAACAAAGGAAGCAGGCGGAAATTTGTATTCGAACTAAATTTAAGGTCGTTGTTTAAAATTTTCATAAAATTAATTAAAAACAACCCAATGTAAATAAAACAAAAATACAAATGTCTGTCTGGCTGTCTGTGTGCCGTGCCGTGCCGTGCCGTGCCGTGCCGTGGCGGTGTCGTCGGTTACGTGTATGGCCGTGAACGAACTCGTTTAGGACATTATTATTAACTTACCATCTTTATAAACATCCTTCCTGTATTTAAACGGCATGATTCTACACAAATCCTTATCGTAGACATATACTATGTCGTCTTTTGTTATCGATCGAGGAGGAAAGAAGGAGCCTTCGGATGCCCTGAAAAAAAAATTACATCAGTAGGCGCCGAATATTTTTATAATTAAAATGATACTACTCTTGTTCATTAATCTATACATTAAAAAAGTTTAATGAAAATCGACCCACAATTGAAGATATCGCATAAAATACACACAAAAAATTGAGTACCTTTCTCCTTTTTGAAGTCGGTAAATAAAAACAAAATAAAATATCATAAAACACGTAAATCTAAGAAAGTATTGTGTTTATAAGTATTAGACGATTTTATATACATATTTACCCGACTGCGGCGAAGCCCAAACTATGGTTATATGTTTGACCTGTATATGTTTAAACAACAAACATAATTTTGCATAAAAAATTGTTAAATAAAAATAAAAACGTGTAAATGGTGAAAACTACAAAATAAAAAGCTGTAAATAAAAAAAAATAAAAATTTTATTTTTCAACTATGCTTTTTTTAATTAACCTGCCAGGTAAACTTCTACCGTCAAAAATCCCTGTTTGTTTGCTCTATTGCAGTATACCAACAATTACAGTACAACTTAACTCACTGTTACTCAAAGCTCCGAAACCCGTTCAATTTTTAATCCGGTTTTGATCATTGATCCCAAACTGAAAGGCTTTTCGGTTTAAGGTTTCGGTTTTGTTCTTTAACCGGATAAATCTGGGAGAATGGTTTTTGCCGAATTTACGTTCCACGAACAAAATTAACCGGTTAAAATAAGTTTTCGTGTATTTACATTTGGCGCGTCTTTGCTAACGGTGAATGGCTAATTAGAAGGATGCATGCACGTTTCTTACTTATGACTGAATTAACCGGTTTATTTCGGTATCAAAACCGAAATCCAACCTTTCTCTAAGAATAACCATTAACCATTATTATTTCGGTTTACTAAGCCGTTCGTTTTCATTAACCGGTTAAAGAAGGAGCGATGATTTAACCATTACATTACCGAAATAAACCGTTCTTTTTTAAACCGGTTCCGAGCCCTGAGTGCCACTAGCCATTTACGCGCAATATTATCGTGGACAAGAGTGCGTGCTCTCTGTTCCATTCACTTCCAAAGTTGGGATAAAAATTCAACACAACCAGTGAGAGATCAAACATAGTGCCACCGGCTTTACATATTTTCCGAGGCATTGCGCAGTAGCACCGTTAATCTCTGAACTCCGGTCTTTTTAACCAACTTCAAAAAAGAAAAGGTTCTCAATTCGGCTGTAATTTTTTTTTACCTCAGAATGCCAGCCGATACAAATCAAAGCACACCGACTTTGAAAATATCTCATTAGGTATCTATAGTAAATGAAAACTACCAATCACTTATTTTATACTTTTTTTTGAAGTCGGTTTTTATTTATTTTTAAGTTTTTATTCTAAGGAATTTATTGACAGAGAAATCCAATAACTATAGGTATTTAGTCCCCAGAATTCAAAACCAGGACCAAACCGTATGCTTGTCACTAGACCAATGAGACGGTATAAAAGAAGCCTATGTACATACATCTCTAACAACATAATAAACAGTAAACATATTAAAAATATCTCATTAATTGCAGGGAATTGCTGCGTGAAAGTATGACGAACTGACACACATTTATAATTGGAAGTGACCATTAAATCCAGTTACTGTACAACTAATATATAATTATTTGTCGAGCTACTTTATTTTCTGTTTTTATTTATTTATTTATAAGTTTTAATTTTCGATTATGTAACAGACACGCTTAGATAACGTAGATTGAGAACCGTCTTAGCCTTCTCGTTAGGTCTTTTTTAACCAACTTCCAAAAAGGAGGAGGTTCTCAATTCGTCGGAATCTTTTTTTTTATGTATGTTCACCGATTACTTGAAGACGCCTGAACCGATTTCGATTTTTATTTGTTTTAAAGGCTACTTCCCAGTGGTCCCATTTAAATTTTATCGAAATCGGTCGAGCGGGTTTTCAAAAATTCTAAAATATATATTTTTTAAAATAAATTGCTTAATCGAATATGTTATAAAAACCTGCTTACCACACCGCACTTCGAAAATATCTGATTAGGTATCCATTCTAAATGAAAACCCCCGTTTAGTTATTTTTTTACAATTTAGTGCCTGGAAGGCGGTTTTTATTCTTTTTTAATATTTTTTTTATTTCATACGCAGAATTGCTTTATGTTATAATTTTGTGACAGTTTCGACTCGAAAATTTAAAAAATATAGAAAATTATAAGTGTTGTTTTGACGATACGCTCCAATTTTTGAAAGAATGAGAACAAGTTAAATATATACATATATATAGGGTTTCTTTCAAAAGCTCTAAAAGATTTGTCGGTCCTAGATTTGTAAATACCCATACTTTTTCTTTTATCCTCCTTGTTAAGTAAAAATATTAAAAAAAAAAATAAAAGTCATACAGTAACTGTATCAATAATAATAAATTTTATTCGTACAGTTATTGTATCAATAGCTTTAGCCTTTATCTATACTAATATTATAAAGAGGCAGAGTTTGTTTGTTTGTTTGTTTGTTTGTTTGTTTGTTTGTTTGTTTGTTTGTTTGTTTGTTTGTTTGTTTGTTTGTTTGTTTGTTTGTTTGTTCGTTTGTTTGTTCGTTTGTTCGTTTGTTTGTTTGTTTGTTTGTTTGAACGCGCTAATCTCAGGAACTACTAATCCGATTTAAAAAACTCTTCTTGTATTAGATAGCCCGCTTATTGAGGAAGGCTTTAGACTATATATATCATCCCGGAAAAACGTACGGTTCCGATGGGATAGATTTGTTTTTGTCTAGGGACGAACCCGAAGCGAATCGAGGGTGAGTCGCTGGTACTTTATAAGCAAATAAGTATATGACATAAATAAGTAGTAAGACTAAGGACAAGCGGAACATCCTTATTTCTCATAGATATTGTTAAAGTAAATAAGTTTAGATAAATATGTCCAGTTAAAACTGATATTTTACTTCCTTATACGATAAAGTCTAGAATTAGCTTTGTTTTGAGATGTATCTAAAGGAAAATGGGCAACTTTGTATGTCTATCTTGTATTTATTAAAGAAGTAGCGACTCACTCTCACTTCGCTTGGGTTAGATTCTAGAAAAACAAAAACAAATTTATCCCGCGGGAACCGTACATTTTCCGAGATAAAATGTGCTATTTTGATGTATGAAGTTTTATTAAAATCCATTCAGTAGTTTTTGCGTTTAAGAGTAACAAACATCCATACATTCTCACAAACTTTCGCATTTATATATATATATTATGTGGTTTTCTCGCGATGCGTTCCCAGACAGACAGACAGACAGACAGACAAAAAAAATCTAAAAACTATAGATTCGGCCTCTGTATCGATAATAATGATTTACAATAAGATTTTCCAAAAAATATTTAATGTACAGATTCGATTCAGTTAGAATTTTATTATATGTATAGATTATCACAATAAAGACGTGGCAGATATGTATGTAAAAATACTTTTTGAGTCAGTCAGTGAGTCAAACTAATGTCTTTATACGTTAAAACAATAGATGAAATGTATGACTAATACAAACAGTTATAACTTCCTTATGTCAATGCCAAGATTTTGGTACTTTATTGCTTTCGATAAAAATTTTGCAACAGACCATTTATCTATACTAATATTACAAAGTGGAAAGATTTGACTTTTGTTCGTTTGTACTGAATAGGCTCCGGAACTACTGGACCGATTTAGATGAAATTTGGTAAGAAGATAGTTTGAGACCCTCGAAAGGATATAGGATACTTTTATCCCAGAAATCATCCCTTAAGGGGGTGAAAATGGAGATGAAATTTTGTATGGGGAATCAATTTATCGACGAACCCGAGCGAAGCGAGGGTGAGTCGCTAGTCTATACTAATTAATTATAGTTCGTCCAGTGGTTAAATTCGAACGTAATCGTTATTGAAAATTTGAGGAAAATATATAAATATTTCATATAGATTTCCCTATCTATATAAAAAATAACTGCTTGTATATTTTTCACTAGCGACTCACCCTCGCTTCGCTCGGGTTCGTCCCTTGCTTGCTTCCATACAAACTTTCATCCCCATTTTCACTCACTTAAGGGATGATTTCCGGGATAAAAAGTATCCTACGTCCTTCCCAGGGGCTCAAACTATCTTTTTACCAAATTTCATCTAAATCGATTCAGTAGATCCAGAGATTACCCCCTACAACGTCTCAAACTCACAAATTCACATACTTACAAACTTTACCTCTTTATAATATTAGATAATACTAAAGCTCGTAAATAGCTACTAAACAAAAAAAGAAAATCGTTTGACAAACAGACGAGGAAAAGGTACCGTACAAACTAAATTGTCTTTGCCTATTTATATATAGATACTTGCATCGACATTGTTTATTTGTCTGTTTGAACGCGCTAATAAGGAAATACCAACTTTTCGCGAGATTTATCTGTGTAGATAAACAAGAAACAAAATGTTAAAAAATAATGTTTTTTTATAAAATATGTAAATCTCGCGATAAGCTTTTATATCATACTAGCGGCTCACCCTCACTTCGCTCAGGTTCGCCTCTATAAAAACAAAAACAAACCTATCCCACGGGAACCGTACATTTTTCCGGGATAAAAAGTAGTCTATGTGTTATTCTGATGTATGAGCTATATTATTGTAAAGTTTCATCAAAATCCATTCAATAGTTTTGCGTGAAAGAGTAACAAACACACATCCATACATACATTCTTACAAACTTTCCAGTTTATAATATTAGTAGGATAAATTGTGTAATTATTGGGTTGGATTTAATTTAAAGTTTATTTTCTTCTTTTTAAAGCATTTAAATAAAATCTTTTATTTACCCGACTGCCAAGGAAGTGTTATATTTTTCGCGCATATATTGTATGTATGTATGTATGTATGTATGTATGTATGTATGTATGTATGTATGTATATTTATTACATCGCATCTTCAAAACGGCGGGATGGATTGCAACAGTTAAGGTATATCTGTATTAAGTAGTATGTATATAGTTAAATTCGTGTCAAAAACC